CTAATTGTTAAGGCCTATATATGAAAGAGCAGTAAGGTCGTAGGGTTTAGGGTTTAGGGGTTTTTGGTTGGGTTAAACAGGGTTCGTACTGGCTTCGTTTTTGGGCTTCCGGTTTGGGTGCTGAGTATTTCGAAAAAGGCTTTAGGGGGTGGGGGTGGGGGAGGAGGGTGGTATATCATAGTATACTGAAAAACTAAGGAAGGAATGTCACTGCCAATCCTCCTGGCCTTTTTTCGAATCTTTGAGGGTTTCATGGTTTTGCTGCTCTAGCAAGTCTGAAAACGTTCATGTCATCTGCTTGGCATGAAGGGGAAGTTCAAAGCGCTTTAAGAAGTTGTTGGAAGGATGCAGGGCTTTAGGGCTTAGGGCCTGAAATTAGACTTATATGATGCCTTGTGTGATACGGAGGGTAGACAATATCGTGCATGACCCAAAGAAATAGAGCATGACATGTTGACAGACTCACTCCGCGCACCCCTGTAATGCCAATGTTGAGGGCGTAGTTACGTGGTGCAGGATTTCATCCATTCGCAGACGTGCCTGTTTTAGACCTGTTTGACATCAATACTATGCTTCAGGGTTTGGAAGGGATGGCCGTGCAGGATTTCGTCCATCAGCAGTAGCTTTATGAAGCCCCCCATGTTTTTTTGGCAAGGCCAGCCGTTATCGTCCACATATACTGCTGCTGTCGTATACCCCCGCAAAAACAACCCCAAACCCTAAACCTTTAAACCCTAAACCCAAAAACAACCCTAAACCCCTAAACCCTAAACCGACCCCTATGTTAAAGCCTCCAGCACCTGTAACAAGTATACACCCTAAACCGTATACCGTATACCCGTATAGAATCCCTATAGATCCCTTTAAAGGGACCCTTGCAGGAACCTCCAAGTATTCAGGGGTAAACTCCCAAGCCCGTAGAACCCAACTCTTGGAGCTTTGGGTTCCCATCACCGTACTTCTGCAGCCCCACACAGCCTAGTAAAGCCCTCTAAACCCCAAACCCTAAACTAGGTAGGCCTTTGGGACATTTTATATGTTCCCTTGTTGGGCTTAATAGGATCCTATTTACGAATATTTTTCAGAGGCTTTGAAGGCCAACCTAACCATAAAGCCTTATAAACCCTAAGCCCGGATTGGGGGTACTGAGGTGGGGGCCTTAATAGTTAGAATAGAATACGTATGGGGGGTATATGATACTATAAGTAGAATAAGGAACCCCCAAAACCCTATTCTACTTGTTAAGGGCCTTACGTTACTGAGGTGTGGGCCGTAGTTTGGGAGCCTGGTGAAGTCCATGTGCAATTCGCCCCCTTGGAAGTATCCCTCGCGCAGTTTCGACCCCTTACGCAGTTTCCTTGTAAGACCCTACGGCGCTGGAGTTATCCCGAGCTTTGGAAGACCAATAGCTGAACCCTAACCTAAATCCTAACACCTTGATCCTAAACTCTAAACCCTACCCCCAAAGCCGTAACCCCTAAACCCACAGAGCCCTTACCCCGAAATCCCTAAAAGAGCCCCTAATGGAGCTCGTATAGGTAGCCCCCTGCCCTAAACTCTAAACTCCAAGCCCCAAATTCTAAAACTCTAAACTCTAAAAACCTAACCCCTGTGGAGTTCTGCAGATGGATCCCCCCCCCCCCCCCCCCAAAAAAAAAAAGAGTAACCCCTAAACCCATAGAGCCCTGTCGACCTCTGGAGCCAAGGCGGTCCCTGACCTACTCGGACGAGCGAGGTCAGGCTGCTGTGGTGCAGGCCGGGGGTTGCTGCTCTTACAGTGGAAGCCAGAAAGTTGGAACATGGGTTTAGGAGGATTAGTGCTAGGATCCCTTATACTTTACCTTAAGGGCATGAGGATAATGATGTTCCAACTTTCTAGCCTCTACCATAGGTCTCTACGGGGGGGGTGAAGGGGATTATAAGGATTGCTTTAAAGGGCTCTATCAGAGCACGATAAGGGTTTAGTGGGTTTAGGGTTTAGTGTTTTAGGAATTAGGGTTTTAGGGCTTAGGGCTTAGGGCTTCCTTTTAAGTCGTGGCGTCCATTTTAAGGGTTCAGGTTTTTTGGGCTTTTTTTGGGGTAGGGGTCTACTATAATTACAAAAGCTATTATCCGTGTTCCTGCAAGGACGGCGTTAGGGGCTCTTGTAGGGATTTGGGTATTCAATGCTTTCAGGGTTTGGGTGTTTAAGGCTCTGGGGTGGGGGGGGCGGGGTTGGGGTTTAGGCCAGCTGCCTACATGGGTTTTTGTCAATGATTATCGTTCGTAATATTCCTTTAGGTATTTCTTTTAAATTAAAGATGCCCTACAAGGATTTCTAACAGTTTTAATTACGTCTTTGTCAATATAGAAGCCTGAAATAAGATCAATGTTATTCCTTAAGGTTCTTTCATACAAGGATAGTGTCATATACCCGAAAGTGGATTCCAAATATGAAGGACCTACACTAAGAGCATTTGTAGGGCTTGTTATGCAAGCCGTTCGGCGTTTCAAGACGATGTTTGGGCGTTGACAAGAGATTTGTAGGCGTTTAAACGGCGGGGCGGTTCTTAAGATTCGGGGCTCCCTCAAGAGTCTCTTGTACTAAAGTTCAGCTCTTTTTTTGTGGTATAGGTGCGGGAGTGTGCAGGGTCTATATTCACGGTAGGATTCGGGATCTAAGTTGCTATAGATTCCTGAATAAAAAAGCCCTCCTTGCAGTCCCTAGATAAGGCAGTAGAACCCCTAAGGCCGTAAAGCGTTACAGATGTGTTCTGGTTCTTGACACTCTTTATCAAACCCTAGACGACCTTCTGTCACCCTAAACCCTTAAGCACAAGCCTAAACCCTAAGCCCGAAAACCCTATAACCCGAAAACCCTAAGCCCTCGACCCCAAAGCTGTAAAGCCCTAAGCCCAAAGCCCACCAGGCACTTCTTCAAGGGCGAGATGAGGCTTCGTTGGTCAACGTCGCCCTTGGCAGGTACGGCAGCTTCGTCATTGACTCCGGCTGGCATTGGTTAGTTGAGAGTTTAGAGGTGAGGGTCGGGGGCCCCGCGACAACAAAGGTGTTAGAAGGGTTCTTGTATCCCTTCAGGGCTGTTTTGGGGGGTTTCGGCTTTTGGGCTCAGGGCTTCGGGTTTAGGTTGAAGAAGCTTTGCTTTGGGTTTAGGGGGCGGTCCCGAATCTTGTCTTGGCCCGAAGTCTCTGCCACCCGAGTGGCTCAGGAGCAGTTGGCCCAACTTCCCCCAAATCTCGTGGCACCCGTGCGTGCGGAAGCCTGGAGAGAGGGTGTGGAGGTTCTTCTCTAGATACATTTATACAGGTTAACTTGAAATTAGGGGTGCCTCGTAGCACAAGCTTGATGAACTACTTGTTGTTTCAACTAGGGGTGCCTTGTGCAGGGTGTGGTTCTTGTCAAGTCTTGTTCTTAAACTTGTCACTGTCAGGGATTCTTGTCTCTCAGATCTCTATCTGTTTTTTCAAGCCTTAGTGTAGTTGCCTGAACGTTGAATACCGTTGGTTTCGGAACAATCGTAATGCTATTCCCTTGTGGCGTCTTTGTGCAGCATCCCACGCCCTCGGCCTACCGCCAAGAAAGTAGCTGTTCCAAATATTCAGGTTTACATAGCAGCACCCCTGGCAGTGGCCGCTGTTGTTGGTTACATTCACCAAGTCAAGCCAGTTTGGTATACTTGGATCGTTGTTGCTTTCAATGTGTCAGCTGATGCTGGCATGCTTCATATGAATGTATCTTGCTGAGTACGAAGCATTCGTTTTTTCTCTGGAGCTCACCGGCATAATATAGGGGCCTTAATGATTAGAATAGGGCTTTGGTGTATACTACACTTATGATTAAAAAGGACCCCCCCCAAAAAAAAAACATTAGTACAGCTAACTATTAAGGCACCTATATACATTGAATCCTAAACCCGGGATTCAGGCAGAGCCGTTTTGGGGTTTAGGATTTAAGGAGGATCAAGGATTAGAGTCCAAACCTAAGTCTGCAGAGGCAATCTTGACAGGAGCGCGGCAACGAAGACAAAACGCAGGAAATCCTTGTCAGCACCTGAAGCCGAGAATCCTGAACCCTAGAATAGTCAAGCGCTTTTGAACCCTAAACGCCCTAAACCCCTGCACCTCTTCGGTCTAAAGGATCCAAAAGTAGATCCCTTATTGGGGGTTCCTATAAAGTACCCGTAGTAGTATAGGGCTCCAAATTAGGCCGAAGCCTTGATCACTGAGTGCTTCAAAAGTTGGAAATGCACTGTCAACATGCAGAATCCCTCCTAGAGTTCCGGGGTTTGCTGTACGGTTTAGGGTTTAGGGTTTAGGGTTTAGCCCAAAATCAAACCCGAGACATCAGCAACTTTAGAAATCCCAGATAGCAGGATCGATCCTCATCTCAATCACCCTGGCAGCCAAGGTTTTGATGTAACAGCCCCTCGCTTACAAATCCCACAAAAAGCCGTATCAAGCCAAACAGCCCTGAAACCCTAACCCCAAACTCTAATCCCAACGCCCTGAACCTTAAACCCTCAAAACCAGAAGAGAGCGAAATAGGCCGCACTCCCCTAAATTTTAGACCTTAAACCTCAAACCGTGGCTCCTAGAAGAGAACTATTGGGCCGGACTCCCCTAAACTCTAAACCTCAAACCTTATACCTTAAACCGTGGCTCCTAGAAGAGAACTCTGAGGCCGTACTCTGGAAGCAGAGCTGCCGACGCTTGTGAGCTCGGCCTTCGGCAGGTTCCGTGGGGGTTACGTTCTAGGGAAAAGCTGTGAGCCATTTTTTGAAGTGCTGGTTTAGGGATTAGGGCCAGGTTTTAAGGGCGCCATACTTCAGGGCTTCGGGTGTAGGTGACAGCCTCAAGAGGGTCGGCTGTCACTGGCAGTCCGACCCTGTGCACACGAAGCACTGCCTTTTTCTGCAGCAGCTACAAGAAAGCTCATGCGCCTTGAGGCGGCGCGGGTCACAGAAAGTTTGGCTGAGGGCAACTTTGGAAGGCTTCGCAAAACGCTCATGACACATGCGGCTCAGTAGCAGCAGAGATAACTTCACATTCACATTGGTTAAAACCTTCCTTCTCCCTCCTAGAAAAGATCCCCTTCTTTAATGGCAGGCAAAAACCGTTCTTTACATATTCCCACCATTGGTTCACCCGCATGGGCTTGGTGAGCGGGTCTGCCAACTGAAGCGACGTGGGGATCCACTGAATCGGGAACCTTCGGTTCCAACACTCGGCCGCGAGTTCCTGTCTCATGGCAACGAGGTCGATGGCTAGGCGTCGGTCCGTTGGTATCTTTGCCATCCCGGTCTTGTGGAGGTGGTCGTAGAGGGACTTGCAGTCGGTGGCGCAGAGTAGTGGCCACCGCTTCCTCGCCTCCTCATGCCGAACTAACCTTCCGGCCAGTAGTGAGGCCAGAAGCGCCCTGACATACTGGGCACCTTCCATCCCTTCGATCGCGGCCATGGTCTCGGCTCCAAATGTCGAGCGGCACACCCGCTTGCAACTCTGGCTCCTCCATTCGAGGATGCTCCCTCGGCTCCTCTCGCCATCTAGGAGCTTGTCGTCGAACAGCATCACCAGGTGCCCGATCTGAGATGCGAGCTTCGAGCCGGATCGCTTGGCCTTCCGTGGCCTCTGGTCGGTGTAGAGCTCGTCGAAGGTGCGGTCGCGGATCTCCTGGGCCGTCAATCTGAAGCCTTCTTCGGCCTCCTCCAACTCGGCGTTGGCCCATGCTGCGTCGTGGAAGGCGACGAAGATCGCCTCTTGGAGGTTGATGCGTCGCAGGTAAATGCCCTCGTCCTTGTGTTCCTCGGCCTTGACGGTCAGGCCGTTCACGAAGCGGACGTCCTGCGTGAGGGGTGCCCGCTGTAGTTGTTGCGAAAGCGCCACGCCGCACTGTAGATCTGGGCGGCTTTGGCTTCCCAACCAGCTCAGGGCCCCTATGAGGGACCGGTTGTCGATCTCCTGTTCGAGGGTGGCCGGCTCTAGCCCGGCTTGCTGTCGAGGCACGTCCACCTTGAAGAGTCGGCCTTCAACGAAGTTCGCCTGGTTGATGTAGATGCCGTCGTCATCGTTCCGGATGAGGGAACCAGTGTACTCAAAGTTGTCGAGGATCCAATCGTCGACAGGGAAGAGTGCACTGATCCGCTCACGTAGGTACCGGTTGACTTCCGGTGGCGCGCCCACAAGGATGTCGTCGACATGGATCGTCAGGTAGGCCGCTGGTTCTCCTTCTTCTCCGTTCTTCAGCAGCATCAGAACGCAGGGGTCCAGTGGACTTGGACACAAGCGGTACTTGTCGCCGTTGATCTCGAAGACCTCCCCAAGTAGGACGCTCGACAGCCGGTCATACCACATCCTCGGGCTCTCCGAGAGTCCGAAGACCTCTTTGCGTATCCTCGCCAGTTGTCGAGGATGTAGGCCCTTGACTCCACCTCGAGGGAGGGAGAGCCACAATTCTCGCTGTAGCTCAACTCCTTGAAGAAAAGCTGCTTGGATATCTCCAGCGGCCGTGGTCCACCGCTTTGAGGCACAGATTTGTAGCACGGCGAGCAGCGAGGACCTGGCAACCGTGGGGGAGTCCACAACAATCTCCTTCACGCCCACGTCCGGATCTTGGTGTCCGGCGACTACCAGCCTCGCCTTAGCTTTCCAGGCGGTCTCCGGGTTGATCCTCCGAAGCCCCATGTTCTTATCGCGGTAAGCGTATCTCGAACCCAGGATGCGCTCGGCTGGCACTTCGGCGCGGATGCGCTCACTCTCGGCCAAGTCCAGGACTTCTAAGGCCCCACTGTCCACATGCTCAGCCCACTGTTTGGCCTCGGCGGCCTGGAACACATCCCTCATGTGCTCGGGTATCATGGACCACGGGATCTCCTTCTCGAGCTGTTTCTCGCGGGACCGTTCCGTCTTCGCCCTCTTGAGCATGTTGACTTGGTGGGCGCCGTCAGCATCGCCAGGTTCAGTAGGGCGCCCCTTTCGGCGCTGTCGTTTTAGCACAACGGGCGGTCGACGCTCGAGTTCCCTCCGGCGGCCTTGCTGCGGAGGGTCTCCGCCTTCCCCTTCGAGATCTAGGGGCATCTCCTCGTCGTCCGGTGGCTCGCCGCCCTCCTCGACGGGACCCGCACCCCTTCCATCGTCCATGTCGATGTCCTCCTCGTCGGCAAAGATCTCCTCCTCGTCTTAAGTCGGCGTGTAGTAGCTTATCTAAATCGTCACGGGCCGCCCGGAGACTGAAAGCTTCCCCGAGTTCTTCTGCCGTGGCCAATCGAACATGTTCGGGGGCACATAGGACACACCGGCCGCCACGAGTGACCCAGATGTTCACTCCCTCCTCACCTATCACGGTTCCTGGCCCCACCCACATTCCGCGCTTGGCGTTCTTTGTCTTTCTGAAGTAGAAGATCCTTTCTCCTACTTCGGGGCGGCGTGCGGTGACGCGAGTCCTGCTCGCCAAGGCTCTCCTCACCCTCTCGTCGGTCTGGACGTGGTAGTAGGCGGCACGGGCTGCGGTCCTGATGGCGACTTGTCTGGCATGGCTGTCGTCAATGATCAGGTCCTCGTTCGGTGAGTTGGCGTGCGGGCCATTGAGCAGATCCTCAGGAAGGGTCGGCGAGGAACCAAAAACATGTTGCACGGGGCTGAACCCGCTGCTCTTCATCAGGTTGTTCTTGGCGCTGGACACCGCGCCGATCGCGAGGTGGATCTCGGACTTGCACACAGACATCTCCTCGCACACCCGCGAAAACAGCGACTTCCAGATGGCGCCCTGGCGCTCAGTGTATCCGGCCTGGAAATGGGCCTGTCCGGCGGCGCTCCGGATGTGGGACCCCGTCCAATCGCTCACCTTGGCGAACGATTTCTCCAGACCGTTCTCCATGTCCACGGCGATCACATCTGGTGCTCCAAATATGTTCAGCCAGTTCTCGCAAAACGCTCGCTCGAGATGGCTGGAGTCCTTTCTTGCCACTGGCACGACCACGTGGTACCCGGAGGAGAAGTCCACCATTGACAAGAGCTGGTGCCGATGGTCCTCGGAGTCGTGGACGTAGAAGAGGTCGACTCCAACCATCTGGTTGAACCTGAGACATGGGGCGATTTTGGCAGGCTTGGGTACTCCAGGTAGTTTACAACGTTGACAAACTTGGCACTCTAGTCCGCGGGCTGCTTTGAGAACGTCCCTTCCGGCTCCTGCAAGACGTAGATGTCGCACGAAATCTGCGGCACTGGGGTGTCCCAAATTCTGGTGTAGCCGACGTAGGCTCGACGCGATCCGTCCTGGGACTGAGGGCGGAAACCTTATAGCCTTGGCTCCACGTTCCTGCGGCTCAGCTTCCGCAGCTCCAGGACCAGGAGGTACTGCACGATGTTCGCCTCGTGCCTCACTGCCGGGGCCTACGTTCTCTCCGGCGAAGATCTCGGCCCCAACTGGTCCATGGCCAGGAGGTACCGCACGATGCCCGACTCGGACTCTGGTGTTGTGGTCCTCGCTGTCCCCAATGAAGACCTCGTTCACATAGCTCTCGTACTCCTCGTAGCGGACCCGCACCAGTTCGTTCCCATCTTCGCTCACATCGCGGTGCACAGCGTAGTCGGCTTCGCCCCATCCTCCCGTCAGGTCCTCCCACAGGGTGTCCTCTTCGATTTGCCTCTCGAAGACAACGGCTCGCCCTTCTCCAAGTTGCAGGGCGATCGCTTCCGTCAGATCACCATGAAGTCGCGAATCTCCCCAGTCTGGTAGTACATGAAGCCATAGTTGCCCGGGACGATGTCTCATGACGGCCGCCTCCAAATATCCGATCCCGAGGTCAGCAGGGTGGTCGTTACAGATCACGTCTTCCATGACAATGGGCTCGGCGAGGTTGATGTAGTCTCCGCTGAATTCGGCGAGCCAACAAGTTGCCGAGACGCCCCCCACCTCGAGTAGTGCCGTCGTAGACGTAGGGCGTTCTGGTAGTAGATCACGTACAGCGTCACCCATGGCGGAAAGGACCGTGGTGAACATCACACTGAGGAAGGCCGCGTTCTTCCAAACAGACCTTCGCGTGCTCCGGCGGGGTGCACTCCTCTTCGCCTTGTCGTTGTCGTTCTCCATGGGGCCGTGGAACACATTGTCTTTCAAGGCCTTCATGTCCCCCTTGGAGCCAAGAGGAAAACCCAGACCCCGTAGGAGTTTCTTCTCGAGTCTGGTGGCCTCCGGGAACGTGCGGGCGGTGTAGCTGGCCAGAAACCAGCGGCCAGCTTCGCTCGGTTCGGATCCATGGCGTAGGCGGGGATCAAACTCCCAGACCTGGCGGTCTGTGTCCGCGACGATGCCCTCGACCTCCTCTCCATTGCGGCTTCGTCGCCAAGTGTGGCCCCCAGGTTGCTCAATCCAAAGGCCTCCGCCGGCTCCGGGACCAAAGCTGATCACGTAGTTGGGGCTGCCCTTGAGGTTGTTCTTGTCGGTGTGGATGGCGGCGGGGCAGTCCTTGAGCAAGGTCAGGGAGGACCAGAAAGCGGGCCTTCCGTTCTCATCACTAGTTCCAGCATGATCGGCAAGGAAGGCGTTGAGGTACTTGGTGAGCTGAGGCCAACGTACAGACTTCTTGCACACTCCCCTGAAGTTGCCGTACGCATAGTAGCCGAGTGCCACCCGTTCTCCTTCAGCATCAGCATGAATTCCTGGTCGCCTTTTGGGGCAGCTTCGGAAGTCGTAGAGGTCGAGGATCTCGCCGGCGGTCTTGAAGTCGTAGTCGCCTGCTTCCAAAGCGGTCGCGGCTCGCTCTTCGCCGGGGTGTCCAGCAGATGGTCTTACGCCAACAAGCTCATCACCCAGGCGCCCGAGAGCCTTGCTGGAGATTAGCGCCTCCTGGCACGAGTCGTCCGAACCAGACGAACACGATAAGAAAGCATCGTGGTGCATGTCGTGTGCCCCCTCTTCTGGGGTGAGGGCCGACCCCCGATCGGCTGCGCCGCTCAGCGGCGCGGCTTCATGCCGCACTTGTCCTTCAAGGCCGCCAATCGTGCTTCCAGCATCTCGTTCTCCTCCTGCGTCTCCTTCGCGATGTCCTGGTCCATGTAGGTGCGCTCGCTCCCGTCGGGAGACCGGTCCCTCCGCACTGCCTTGGCCTTCGCCACCAAGCCCGTCCGGGTGGACACCTTGGGCGGGTACGGCGCATCCTTCATGTAACCGCCCTCGCTTCCCTATACCATGGACCAGGCCGCCGAGGACCCCGTCTCGCTCAGAGGTGGAGGTGGAATCAAGGCGTCGCCCTCCGGGTCCTTGCGTCTCGTCGAGGAGCTCGGTGCTGTGGCCTTCTGATCGCGGCGGTGTCGTCTCCACTGGACAAACCTCTTCAAGTCGGGGCTCATGTCCATTGGCTCTCTCCTCCTCCGAGGCCCACGCACCGTAGTTCTCGGGGATGTCCATGAACGAGCTCCCCTTGAAGCGGCCGATGGCCATGACGGTCTCGTCCGGACAGGCTGCATCGCGGATCCGCAACATCAAGCTCCCGCGGGTCTCTCGCGGTCCCACATCCATTCCCATCCGATCCGCCTCCACACGGAGCTCGGCCAGGCTCATAGCTGACAGCCCCTTCGGTGGCTTCTCGGTCACCTCGTTGTGATCCCGGTCTGCCACCAGCACAGCTCTCAGTTCCGGACATGTCCACTTCTCGCTCACTGCCATGCCGCGGTGGAGGCACTCCTCGAGAAGCTGGGCCTTCGTCATCTTCCATATCGCCGGGCGGCCCGACGAGCTCATGTCGCGGGTCGGAGACGAGGACACAGGGCGTTCGAGCTCTGTTGAAAACGCTTCGGCCGACCCATAGAGTAGGATAGCCACTCGCTGCTTCACTTCGCCAAACATCAGTGACAGTGCTCAGAACCCTTCGTGACATGCACCCAATCCCCCAGGTCTCTCTCAGGCTGCCGATCTGTTCCAAAAGCCTTTCTCGTTGCCAGACATGTGAAGTTTGCCAGCTTGATGGAACGAAGAAGTTCTTTCTGGGAGTGATGTGGACACGGACTAGTTTGGTTTCGGTTTCTATCCAGAAATCATTCGACAACTCGGTTTGGGACCACCACTCAAGGAACACGGAGTCACTCAACGAATCAGCAACCAGCATGTCACGGATTGCGGGGTTAATCTTCTTGTCATAAAATATCTTTGGGGTAGTACTTGTAGACGCCTCTCCAGCTCGCTCTGCACATCCCCAATCACCCCCGCATGCAACCATGTACACCTCGCACGGGCTGACGACTGCAACTCCATGTCCCTCCCAGTTCTTCGGGAGGCACGAAACATCCGGCCTGCTAAGGCTGCTATGGTCTATACGAATCGCCGGGTGGCCACTCGACGTCTCCTGCAGCTTGAGGAATTCAGAGCCGAGGCGCTTGAAGCTCGCTGAGCTCGTGCCCAGGTCGAGGACGAGGCCAAGTTCGGCTAAGGCCGGCCTCGACATCAGGAGGGGAATATCCCCGTGGATCACAGCGCATTTCACTGCCACGCACTTGTCGTAGATCGGGACCAGGATCACCGCCGCATAGGAGGACTCGTAGATCTTGCTCGCGGCGCCAAACTTGAACGCTTCCCGCTCATAGATGAACCCGATGTCGTACCCCTTTCCCCGAGTCAGGGTGAGGTACCGGTCCAGCCATCCGGTTCCGACGACGGACTTCGAGCAGGCGGAGTCAAGGATAGCGAAGAGCTCGGAGTGACCCTTGGTAGAGAGTTCCATGATCTCATTCGTCACGTGCACCGTTTGCGGCTTGCTCGCATTTCCCCGCTGAGGGCAGATCGGGTCCCGGTGCCAATGGCCGCGTTGGCCACAGGCCGCACAGAAGCTCTTCGACTTGGCCAGCTGGACCTTGGCTTCAGCAGCTTTGCGAACGGAGCCAGGGTCGTAGTCGCGCTTGGAAGAGGCATTGCCGTTGTCGATCCCCCTGGCCTTTGTAGCATCACGGTATCTGGCCTTAGCGGTCATATAAGTCACATACAAGTCGCCCGTGTCCTCGCCCACACGGTCGATCAGGTCGAACTCGCCGTCGGTGCCCTCATCCTCCGCGCCCTCTACACCCTCGGTGTGGTTCACGGAGTTGAACCGCTTGTTTCCGCCGCCCTCGGGCCTCGAAGTCTTTTCCCACGGCTTCCGGATGGAGCGGTCGAGGATGATCGCCGCCTGCTGGAGTTCGCGAAGAGCATAGCGGTTCCCGACCGAGGCCAGGAGTGACACCTCGGTGGACTCGTCTAAACTTGCCCGGTCCACATATAACCATGCCGTCGCCATGTCGGGCAAAGTGCAACCGCACTCCGTGACCCGGGCCAGCAACCTGTTGAACTCCGACGTGTAATCCCGAAAAGACTGCGCCGGGCGTCGCTTCAGTTTCCTGAACAAGTCGCTCAGCGATCGGCCCACCTGGGTCACCTCCACATCCAGGTAGTGCTGAGTGATCCAGTCCTTTAGCGTCTGCACCCCGTTGTCCTGAGCGAGGTCCTCGACGCACAAGGACTCTGAGTTCACCCAGGCCGACCCCTGAAGGTTCTGATACAACACAAGGGCTCTCTGCGAAGGACTCAACTTTGTCATCTTCTCCCAGGCCGCGACCTGTCGTAGGTAACTCCTTGCCGAGGTCCCCAAGTCGCCGGAGCCCTCCGCATCGCCACTGAAGCTCGGAATCAGTAGCCTCTCCGAGGGGCCTTTTGGGCCGCCGCCACTGCCCCGATCGAACTCACTGGGGCCTCCATCTCGTGTAGACGTAGCGCCGGATCGTGTAGTAGAAGTCGCTCCCGCAGTGCTCGGCGGGGTCGTCCAGGGGCCCGTCGTATTCCAGCTCGTAGGCATCATCACAGTGCTCGGCGGGGCTGTCCCGGGGCCCGTGGTATTCCAGCTCGTAGGTCCGCTCGGCGGTGGTGCCCCGGGGCTCGTGGTAGTCCCGCTTGTAGTCCCGCCTTGCCAGGCGGCGTATCGCTGGCTTCCATCGCCCCATGGCATCCATCCGTCCCAGGCGTAGGACTGCCAACGGTCCGCTTTCCAGTCGTCCCATTCCTTGTGGCCGGCAGGCCACCAAGCGTTCCAGGACGACCATCCGTGGCCGGAGCCGTCAGACGCACGGCGGTCTGACCCCGACGTAGTTGCGTCGGCGGAGCCACCGCCATCGCTGCTTCCATCTTTCGCATGCTGCCAGTGATCACGAGGTCGCTCTTTCCACTCATCCCTGCGCCAGGAATCTGCGGCAGATGCCGCGGGCTCCCCACCATCCTGGCCTCCCGTAGACTGGTCACGGGCGTCCTCGTCATCGTTCTTCTTCGTCTCATTGGGCTCATTCACAGCTGCTTCGGTGCCGGTGGTCTCTCCAGCACTCCACTCACGGTTTCCCTGCCAGGGATCTGATCCGGGCGCCGACCACGGGTCGGCAGCATCACCACCTGCCATGGCCGAGCAGGCTCCGCTACCAGTGACAGCCTCAAGAGGGTCGGCTGTCACTGGCAGTCCGACCCTGTGCACACGAAGCACTGCCTTTTTCTGCAGCAGCTACAAGAAAGCTCATGCGCCTTGAGGCGGCGCGGGTCACAGAAAGTTTGGCTGAGGGCAACTTTGGAAGGCTTCGCAAAACGCTCATGACACATGCGGCTCAGTAGCAGCAGAGATAACTTCACATTCACAGTAGGGCTTAAGGTTTGCGAAGGTGTTTTGTAATGGTTTTATTTGTGGAGCTAGACTAGCGGCTTTTGATAGGATAATAGGCAACATGAGAGTGCCTGGGATTGGGGCTTCCGGCAAGACCTCAGCCCACGAGCCTGGGGATACGATGGGTTGAGCTTTGGGTTGCTCATACCAAGCAATTCAGGTGTGGGATTTTGGGGCTGGGAGCTCTCAGTTCTTGGGTCTCTTAGGGCTTGGGATTTAGGAACAGGGTTTTGGGTTCAGGTTTGGGGGGTGCTTCTTAAACCCGAGATTTAACCAGGTGAAACCCTATCGAACCCTACTAAACTCCTTGCAGGCTTCATTTGACAAGCCACCCTTACAAAACCCTATCACCTACTTTAAGCCATCCTAAACCTAGTAATATAGAAGCTTAAAACAATTACAAGCATTATTCCTTGGGGTTCCTGTACATAATACTATATACTATAGAGGAGCCCCGAACCCTACTCTACTTGACTTATCAAGTCCCCTAATTTAAGCCCTAACACACCTTCCCAGCTTTCCTATGTGGGAGTTTCCGGAAATAGGGGACCCTAGTATAGTAAGGATTTCAAACTAAGGTACCCCCTAGTTTTCGGAAACTCGAAATCCCTGTAAGGCCAGTTATATAAAGGAACCCTTATAGTAATCCTTTAAAGGAACCTCAAGGTACCCTTAGTTTCGGAAACTTTCCTATGCTTCCCCAAAACCAGGCGGGTGGCCGAAGCTTTTGAGCAGCCCGGCCAAGAGTTGTCGGATGCTTTTCTGGGTTTGGGGGTTTGGGGTTTAGAGTTGGGGGGGACTCTAAGGGTCCCTAGAGGGGCCCCCTCAAGAGTTTTTGCGGCTGGAGTCCGGTTAAGCGCTTCGGGGCTTCATGTTTGGGTTTGTTAGGGGCATGCTTTACGGGGCATTGCACGGCCTTCTGCAGGTTGTTTCAGGGCGGTTGGAATGGGGGGGGGGGTTCGGGTTTGGGGTTTGCCTTTAGTTTAGGGGAAAGATGTTTAAGGCCTGGTGTTGTAAGGGTTGCTTCCACGTTTCTTATTACGACTCTGTCGGCGGCTGCAAGGATTCGAAGTTGGGGTGGTGTAGCAGGAGGCTTTTTTAAAGGATTTGAAATTGGTTTCAAGAGTTTTAGGTGTTGCAGGAAGCTGTTTAAAGTTTGGTCTAATTAAGGTTTTGATGCTTCTTATGCAGCTGTTGTCATAGTTCTTTCTGTTCCAGGTTGTGTTGTGTGGAGTGTTCTTTCGGGCGGAGTATATAAGTTTAGGGCGCAAGAGTTTTAGGGTTTATGGTTTGCGCCGGCACTGGATGAGGGCATCCGAGTGAATCTCGGCCATATACAATGAATGGGGAGCCTTGCTACAGAGGACTTAGAGTCTTCGTCTTGGAGTGTAGGGTTTAGGGTGTAGAGTGTAGGGTTCAGCATTCAGGGAACCCTATCATCGAGGGTTTTGTGCAGCCCAAGTCTCCGATCATCAAAACTGCAATCGCAAACTCGAAGTGCACGATCTTCAACCTCACATCCTACGAAGCTCTCAAACTCCCATAAATCCCGAACCTCTCAACCCTTAACCGCAAAGCAACAGGGGAGACACCCGATCAAGCCGCCACAATCCAAGCTAGCTGCTTCCGAACCCGCAAAATCGAGGGAGACACCAATCCCCCTCAGGCCTTAAACCTTTCATTAATTAGTCTTCCCAACTAAACCCCTAAGCCCTTAAACCCTAAACCCTTAAACCCTATAAACCCCAAAACCCCTAAACCCTAAATCAACACAAAACAGGCACGCAGTTCGACAGAGAATTGGGGTTATGGTAGTTATAAGTCCCTAAAATAATTAATAACCAGTTACTAAGTCCCCCTCGACCCTCCAAGTAGGCGCGCAGCTCGACAGAGAAATTCTGCCAGGTTCGAGTTCGAGGTGCCCGAGGAGTTCCGCCAAGAGGACCAGCCCGGATGCCCGGAGAGGGGACAGTGTTTCGTTGACTCCCTCCCTCTCTCTCCCTATCTCTCCCTCTCTCTCTCTCTCTCTTCTCTCTCTCTCTCTCTCTCTCTCTCTCTCTCTATATATATATATATGTATATGTATATGTGTATATATATATATATATATAAATACATTTTTTCTTTCTTCTTCGTTTAGTTAGGTCTTTCTCTTTATTTGTTTGTGTATGTTTTGCTGCTGTGTCTGTTTTTTCGGGGGTTGTTGTTTATCGGGTTGTGGTGTTTGTTTTTCCTGCGATTGTTTCAGCTTCTGGCATTCTGGACTCAGGCTCGTGTTAGGGCCTGGGGTTGTTAAGTACGGTCCAGTGGTCCGGCTGTTCATACAGCATTTTGAGGTAATATGGAGGTCGTACAGTAGTACATAGCAATAGTATTCCCTTGTGGCCCATGCATGGCTATACTCTATCATACCCCAAGCTCCTATTCTATTTATCAAGGTCTCTGTGTTAGCAATCGTCGTCGTGGTGACAGGTCAAGATGTAAACCCAAAACATGGTCTAAGAGCCCTGAAGCCTTAACCGTGGAGTCTAGCCTTGCTCATAGGAGCCCATATAGTAATACTTTTTAGAGGAACCCTTAAACTCAGAGACGGACTACTTATTGAGTCTGAACGTGGATGCCGCGGCAGCAGAGGTCCATGCAGCAGAGCAGCATGAGCGAGAGCGGATGCTTGGACAAGGGGCTTACTGGAAATTAGGTAACTTGGTGTTCAGAGGGTTTTTGCAAGGACTTTATCGGAGCTTTATATAGAAAGTTGGATTCGCTGGTGTGTTGTTATTTTTCGGTAACCTTATCTATAAGCCTACTTGCTAAAGTCAGCTGCCAGTTCGTCAGGACCTACGGTGTTTCCAACCCTCCACCCTGCAAACTGCCAACCTCTGCATCCCGAGCTCACCTTAACCTAGTAGAGATGGTGCTTTAACCTCTTATGGGGCACTATAATCACTTTTTTCCTCCAATATACTCGCAGACGTTAACTGTTGGTTCTCCAAGATACTCGACAAGTAGGTTAGTTGATAGGTTGCATAGTGACCTTCATGGACCTTTGGGAGAACTAGTGAGTATTGGGGATGACTTGGCTATACGCCCTTGATGGTTTCGGGGGTTTGTTGGGTTGAAGGTCTTGGACTCTAAGCACTTAGACCCTTGACCCTACATGCCAGAACTCTACCAACACACCTTGCAGAAGCCGTAAACACTTGCACCAAAATCACATAGAAGCGCTACTACGTGGAAAACAATTAGAAAAATCAACACCGTTGAATCTTCTGCTCATTAGAAACCACTTAGCATCAAGGCGACACCCCAAAGCCCAAACCCTTAAGCTTAAAAGTCAAATGAATAGAAAACCCCTCAAAATTGAGACCTCAAGCCCTAAAATCAAGGAGACACCCCTTAAAAGTCAGATGAATAGCAAGCCCCTCAAAATTGAGACTTTAAACCCTAAACCCTAAGAATCAAGGAGACACCCCTTAAAAGTCAGATGAATAGCAAACCCTTCAAAAAGAACAGAACTCGCTGAGGAGATCTCCCGAAGCCTGTGACGGCAATGCAGTGAGAGGGAGCCCCAGAGGACGGAGATTAGGGTTTAGGGTTTAGGGTTTAGGGTCGACTGAGTTTAATGTAGGAACCTGTTTACGAAACCTTGGGTCTTTATTGGGGTGCCTTGTATGAGCCCTAATAGATTTGGGGTTATAGGGCCAGGGTTTCTTAATCAGGTTCCTACATTAGGTGTTTAGGGTTTTGGGGTTGTAGAGTTTAGGGCTTTGGGGTTAGGGTTTCGGGTTTTCGGGCTTAGGGTCTTGTTGGCCTGTTCTTCTTTGATGTTGTTGCTGCTCTTTTGCAGGCTATGACCCCTTCATATCGGGTCAACATGGTAGGTAATCGGAGTCACAAGTAATTCTGGCTTGAGTCCCAAAGCCCGAATACCCTACCGTACACATGCACAACCACACATCCGAGTCCGAGGCGCGCATCCTAAGTAAGCCTCGATTCCCAAGCCTGCCACTTTAGACCAAGCCCGCTGTAATACGCACTTGAATTAGAAATCAGTTCTGGGACGCTGAGGTGCCACAGTGCATGAAGATGTTTGGGTGGGAATCTCGACTTCAAACCCTACATCCTAAACCCTAAACCCGTAAACCCCTAAACCAATCAACCTCTCAACCCTAAACCCCAAACCCTAAACCCTAAACCCTACCAAGTAAAGCTTGGGTTGCTTATGGTTAGACGGGGTCAACTCGGGGCTTTGGGCCTCAATATAAGATGTGCTTGGCCGAAGGATGCTACCACGATGTAAGGTTGCTATAAGGAACATATATACAGGGTCACCATGAGGGTGTTGGGTTTAAGGTTTCGGACAGTGTGAACTTGAGTCTGTTCGGTGCCGCAAGCGCAATTTTGTGCCTCTGGGCGCTCCCAACGTTAGCATGCTATGCCTTCGAGTCCCAGCACAGTACTCGGGCGGCAGGTCCAGTGCATGTTCCCTCAGCGTTTTGAGTTGCAAATCCTATCTTGAATCTTGAACGAGCCCACTTTCAATGTACGGGAAGCAAGCCCAGCAGTGTTGGGGAGGAAACCCCACGCTCGCGTGAACGTGACGTCGCGGTGCATTCCAAATTTGCTCCTTTTTTCTCCCAAGCAGGTCGAATCATATAGTGGGTGAGGCTGGTGGATGACCGAAGTGAGGACATGATTGCTTGGTTCCTGCTAGTACAACGTACTAATTCTACGGCGATGACGACTGCTACAGTTATGACTAGTAACTACTACTACTACTACTACTACTACTACTACTACTACTACTACTACTACTCCTACTCCTACTCCTACTACTACTACTACTACTACTACTACTAC